AAAAAAAAAAAAAAAAAAAAAAAAAGGAAAAAAAATTGGAGAAAAAAAAAGCAACAAAGAACTGTTGAAGAGACGTACGTATCATCAGGGAGTAGTTCGTCAGTCAAAAATTGTTGGCCTATAGAATTGTTGAAAGCTGAGGAAGACAGATGACAACAGATTTATTATAGCCAAAGATTTGTTTCATTTTTGTCTGTATGTGTTTTTGTGTGTGTGTGTTTTTTTTTAGGACAGAACTTAAATCTAAGAGAAAAAAAAAACGTTTTTTTTTCTAAATTTTAAATGTAAAAGAAGAAGAAAGAAAAACTAGACTTTTTTACTGAAAAATTTCAACTATATTAGCTTGACTAGTTAGAAGAAGGAAAGAAATGAAGCAGTAGTTTGCATATTTCTTCTGAATAATATCAATGAATAAGTGAAATCAAGCAATCAGCAAAAAACCTATCAATCTTGGCTGCTACTTGATTTTCATTAAACCTGTTCCACGCATCTGTTTTATGCATGTTTCTGTTTGTCACTATGCGATATTTCTGAAACCATCTTATACAAATACTGAAAATAAAGCTTTACAATTTACCTATGTTTTTTTTTGCAAAAAATTTGAAAAAAAATTATCAAGTTTGAAGGCTATCAGAAAAAAAAGCACCACTAAACTAATCGACTAAACGTTGATCAACTATCACAGAACTAAACTAAATAAAAAACAAACGAAAAAAAAAAGGAAGGAGACAAAAAAGGCATAGATTCAATGGCAGTATTGCAAAAAAGAAACTCATCTTCTGATAGCTGCAGAAAACAACTCTACGGTAGGCTTCTAATGAAAAACTGTAACAACTATCTAAAAATAGAACAGCACTAATCATTTATCGCTCAGAAGGTGGAAGAAGACAGCGATGATAACACTAAGCATTCAGATTGAAAAATTGTGATAGGGTAAGAAAAATTTAAAAATCTGTTCATCTTTTTCTTTTTTGCTTTGTCTAACTGACTTAACTGACTTCAAAATACAATCAGAAACCGATATTGAAAAAAAAAATGACGTTTGAAGACGGAGAAGAAAGCAGAATTGGGAGAACGAAAAAAGGAAGCGGTAAACGAAATTCAGGAAAAAAAAAAGCAAATATATTAATAGAAATTTCACCTCCCAATTATTTTCAACAATTTCTGCTGGTTTGGAAAAAGAAAAAACAATTTTAGTTTATCGGAATACTTTTCACCGTAACCATTCACTAACGTTATCATTATTATCATCATCATCACCATCATTATAACCTTCAATCATCGTCAACATCAATGGCATCATTATCACCGTTATAGTTATTGAAAACTAATTGGTAAGACAAATATTTTTACAAAGCTAGCAGACCGTTTTATCTCATATATCACATCATTTAAATGTCTGTAGAAAGATGTGATATAGCTAAATAAAAAAAAGAATAAATTTTTATGTCTAGAATAAATGAAAAAAAAATGGGTAAGAAGTGAGAATGAGAAAGTGTAAAAGAGTTAAGTTTTTTCTGCTTTTTTTATTGAGCTGGAGCCACCGGTTGTGCAGATGTATCATTGGCCAAATTTCTCGGTATTACTGAAGCATTCCTAGATTTTGTTCGTAATTTCATCAAGCTATTTTCGGCAATTTCTGCTCGTTCTTCAGCATTTTCAAGTGCCAACTGTATTTGTCGATATTTTTGCAAATTCATATTGGCCACCTCTTCCTAAACAATTATTTTTTGTTGTTTTTTTCCTTTTTTTGTTTTTACCTCTTAAAAAAAACAGTACATAACTGCGACTAAAGAACAGCTCTTTTTAAACCCTTATTTCCTCTTAAAACAATCTAAAAGTAGAAATAGTGGCTACTTACCGCTTCATCGATCTGCTTCTTTTGAACTTTAATTTTGTTTTGCAGTTTTTCAATGAGATCGTTAATTCTTGTGAAGTTCTTGTTATCTTCATCAACTTGGAACTGAAGTTCACGACATTTTCGTTCTTGTTTACCCAATGATTTTACGGCATCTTGATAACGGCGTGATTCAGTTTCTAATTCAGCTTCCATTTGCTTTATTCGTAGCTCCATTTTTTGAACAGCTTTTTGTCCACCTTTAACAATTGCGCTTTCTGCCTCATCAACCTGAACAGCCAACAGTTTTGGCCATTAGAGAATGCTTTACAAAAAAGTTCTTTTTGGTTTTTAAGAAGTGCAAAACCTACTAACAAAAAGTGAAATTGATTTTCTACTTACGGTCACTTAATTCGTTCAAGAAGCAGAAAAAAAGGCAGAACAAAACAAATAACCTTAGCTTGCATCTCTTTTAGCGATATTTCAAGGCCTTTTCGAAGCCTATCCAGATGCTGACCGTGTTCCTGTTCCTGACGAAGCTCTTCTGCTAGACGTGTAGCATCGGCAATTGCTTTCTTTGAACGCTCTTCAGACGCTTTTAGTCCATTCAATGCTTCATCAAAATCACTCTAAAAATTCATCTGCTAAGAATTTTTCTTTATATTATGCCAGCCTAAAAGATGTAAAAGATGTAAAGATTAAAATGTTGCCTTCAACAAAAATTATTCACAAAAACATTCAAAACAAATTTCCATTGAAAAAATTAAAAAGAGATAGGTGGTGAAAATTTTAAGACATTATACCCGGATAATTTGAATATCTGCTTCAAGCTTCTTCTTTGCAGCATTAAGACTAGAATTATCTGAAGCAACTTCGTTTGTCTGCTCTTTGATTTCGATCAAATCACCTTCAGCCTGTCTCTTTGATCGATCCAACTGAGAAGATATAGGAATATAGAACAACGGTTTTTTTTGCAAAAGAAATCAGGCATTTTTTGTACTGCTGATTGTGAAAAAATTCTTTTCTATATCCTATACCTGCTGGATACTGAGTAAGATATCTTCTTTTTCTGCCTGAACAATAGCCAGTCGTTTTTCAGCTGATAAATAGTTCTCGCGAAATTCTTCTCGATTTCGTTGCTCTTCCTCGATTTGCATTTGTAACTCTTTAATTTGTTCCATGGTTCGCTTGATAGTTTTTTGCGTGTCAACGTTGGTCTTGTTGGCCTGGTCCAAAGCTATTTCCAGATCCTAGTTGTATCAGAGTGGTTAATAAAACAGTAGGCAAGAAAATATTGACGACATCAGCTTTGAAGTGCTAAGATTTGCAAGCCTTAACTTACGTTGATAGTCTGTTCAAGTTTCTTTTTGTGACGCAACAATTCAACCTTGCTCTTCAACTCAGCTTCCAATGTAGCCTAAAATTGTTCTACATTACTTTACATTAATTGCCCTCTGCTGGAGGTTAACCTTTGTGGCATTTCAAGCCAAAAGAATTTTAGAAACGCAAATACTATTAAATAAGAATTTTGTAGCAGCCAAACGAGTAATAAACAAAATATTATGGAAGATTTAGACGAGCCCAACAAGTAATTTGTACTGTCAATGACCAAGACGAAAAATCAACTATTCTCAAGTTCTTCAGATTTTATGCAGGAAACAGTAATACAGTAGTTCAAGAAGTGTTTTGACTTTCATTTACAGTACTTAACCATAAACTTGGTAGATGATGGATCTAAAGTATCGCTGTAAAATTTCAAGGCCTAAAAAATTGACCTTTATTTACCACTTTCACAAATTCTGTTTGAAAGTTTGTATTGACAAACCAGTTATCAAAAAA